TCTTAAAAAAATAAAAACAAAAGAATAGGTGTATAGTGAGTCTAGCCTTCGTGGTAGTTGCATTTGTTGGCCAACTGTATATAGAACAGAATTAAAAGTAAAAGTAAAAGTGCGTTATCTCCTAGTGTCAGTTTTACTTACTGCTTTTGGATAGTTTTGGGGACAGGATGATATATGTTATGTATGTAGGGGTTGTGTTTATGCAGTCGTAGGAAAATTTTATGTAAAGTTTGAGGATAGAACAAAATATATCAAAGAATTTTTTTTTTTTTTCTTTGAGATGGAGTCTCACTCCGTTGCCCAGACTGGAGTGCAGTGGTGCTATCTCGGCTCACTGCAAGCTCTGCCTCCCGGGTTCAAGCGATTCTGCTGCCTCAGCCTCTTGAGTAGCTGGGATTACAGGTGTGCACCACCACACCCGGTTAATTTTTGTATTTTTAGTAGAGACAGGGTTTCTCCCATGTTGGTCAGGATGGCCTCGAACTCCTGACCTGTAATCTGCCTGCTTCAGCTTCCCAAAGTGCTAGGATTACAGGTGTGAGCCACCACACCCAGCCAGAAAGTTAATATTGTGTGGTAGTCTCTTTGGGCTACAGTATACTTGATTTTACCTTTACTGATTCTTCACTGGAGAAATTTGTGAAGTGATGACTCGGAAATTCTTTCATAGGTACGTTTTCCTGTTGTTGTTTCAAGATAGCCCAGTCATCAAGGAGACATTGATAAAGAAAGACTGTTGATTCTTCAGTTATCAGTTATGACTGGCCTTTATCTTATGACCAACAGTGGTTTCTTTTAAAATCCACAGAATGCCAAATTTTTATATCTGGTTCTCACTAATTTAAAATGATGTCATGCTAAAGCTGTTTTATTATTTTAAAAGACAAGAAAATATATTTTAAAAATAAAGCAACACTTTAGTTTTTGATTGAAAATGATATTTTGCTTGAATTTTTTTTTTTTTTTTTAAATTCTACCAGCCAAACACGGTGGCTCATGCCTGTAATCTCAGCACTTTGGGAGGTTGAGGCTGGAGGATTGCTTGAGCCCAGGAGTTCAAAACCAGCCTAGTCAATGTAGTGAGACCCCTGTCTTTACAAAATTTTAAAAATTAGCCAGGTGCAGTGGCATGCATCTGTAGACCCAGGTACTTGGGGGGCTGAGGTCTTAGGATCACTTGAGCCTGAGAAATTGAGGTTACAGTGATCTGTGTTTGCACTGCTGCACTGCTACGTGGCGACAGAGGGAGACCTGTTTCAAGACAAACAAAAAAGTTCTCCCTAGGATTGCTCTGTCAGTTTGGCCATTGTTTGAATCCGTACTAGTCATCCCCCTGTCATTTTCCATGGTAGTCAAAACTTCCAGGGTAGAAAAATTTTCCTGATAACTGACAAAAAAAGAGAACAACAAACAAAAAATCCTGGGGTATTTGACTGTATCTTCATTATGATATCCTGTCATTACCAATTCTTTTTAAGGAAGCAACAATATTTTAAAAATGTATATAGATATATATACAAAGTAGTTACAGGCTTTATTTTTAGTTTATGTGGACTAATAGAGAAAAGCTACAGAGCAACAGGTTTTCTTCAGTTTTTCCAGCAGGATTTTTTTTTCTTCCTGTAAATATGATTGGCGAGTATTTATCTGTGCACTTATGCATATCCACTGCTACACCAGACTCCTATCTGTATATATGTATATTTTATGTACCCATAGGTGTATATATGTACGTATACTTGTGTTTTTTCCTCATTATCTCTCATCCACGTGTCTAAGGTGAGATGGTGTCTAATAGAAAGTTATTCTATGGAAACATTTCTGAAGGCCACTAAAAAAGGACAGATGGTTACAAGGATAATTATTTTGAGTTTTCCTAAAAACTTTTCCCTGATACTTCTGGCTTTGTGCTTCTTTTTTTTTTTTTTTTTTTGGGCAGTCACTCTCTGTCGCCCAGGTTGGAGTACAGTGGTGCAATCTTGGCTTCACTGCAACCTTAGCTTCCTGGGTTCAAGTGATTCTCCTGCCTCAGCCTCCCAAGTAGCTGGGATTATAGGCATGCGCCACCACGCCTGGCTAATTTTTTGTATTTTTGGTAGAGACAGAGTTTCGCCATGTCGGCCAGGCTAGTCTCGAACTCCTGACCTTAGGTGGTCCGCCTCTCTCGGCCTCCCAAAATGCTGGGATTACAGGCGTGAGACACCATGCTCAGCCATGGCCATGTGCTTTTGATTGACTTCGCTTCCTTCTTTCTGACACTGAAGAAGTAGATGTGAACGCTATAGGAAGGGTTGCATTCTCTTAGAGATAAGAACCTGAAGTACTACAAGGATTCTTTAGATTAACATTTATTTATCACTAGTAATATTTCTTTCACTGTCTCTGTTTTGCCAAAGAAACCTAATTTGTGCTGCAAGTATCGGGGCAAGTTATATGTTGAAGTCTGAGCTTGATGTTCCCAATTTTGATGAAAAAATTAAGAACGTTGAAGTTGACAGCAAAGATACACTGAGTGACTCGGGTTTTGGTTTCCAACTTTAAGAGTGAGCTTGCCATTCCACGCACTGATTTTAGTGTGGAATGGAAAGGAGTGATTCATTCTTTGTGGGAACTAGGAAGGAAGTAAGAAAACTGTAGCTATTTTTAAACTTGTATTCTGGAAGGGGTTGTGTTTTGGGAGTCCTAACTGCCCATTCCCTCACCCCACTAAACAGTTTTCTTGCTGAAAACTCTGTGGTCTGTGTTTTTTTGTTTGTTTGTTCATTTTTTGTTTTTGTTTTTGTTTTACATCAGTGGTTTTGTTGCCTTGGTGCCAAGTGAAATTTAGAAGTCACTTTGTATCTCACATGTCTTATCCCTAATCCTTGATGGTTGTTAACATTGAATCATATATAAGATACATTCCTTGATAAACTGTTTTCAGGGAAAGTGAATTTTCTTCTTTTGAAGAGTGAGCACTGTATCCTTTTCCAGCCATTTTAATAACCTGTCTGCCATACATAGAGTTTCCTAAGGGTATTTTTTAAGTTGTATATAGACTTTTAAAACCCTGTAGTAAATGCCAGAAAACCATTTCCGACCATGCTTGTGTGGTTAAGCTAAAAGTTAAAGAGAGCAATCAGGATATGATGAACAGCCAAGTTTGTTTTCATTATTTAAAAAAAAAATTTGGCATAAAAGTTCGAGATTCTTTTTTTTTTTAAATGAGTTTAAAGTTTGACAATACACTGCTTCAGTTGAAATAAAGTCTTAACATCGTTTCTTTCATCCTGTGATGACCTTATGGCTAGGTGAAAAGCTACGAGTTCTTGGTTACAACCAGAATGGAGAGTGGAGTGAAGTTCGCTCTAAGAATGGGCAGGGCTGGGTGCCAAGCAACTACATCACCCCAGTGAACAGCCTGGAAAAACACTCCTGGTACCACGGACCTGTGTCACGCAGTGCAGCTGAGTATCTGCTCAGCAGTCTCATCAATGGCAGCTTCCTGGTGCGAGAAAGTGAGAGTAGCCCTGGGCAGCTGTCCATCTCGCTCAGGTACGAGGGACGTGTGTATCACTACAGGATTAACACCACTGCAGATGGCAAGGTAAGACTCGCTGGTCAGCACCTTTAAGCATGGACTGGCTGCTTTGTGAAATAATATTCAACGTGACTGAAGTGAAGTAATAGGTTTTATGTCTGACATGAAATAAAATATTCACTAGCTTTGTGAGTTTGGGCTTTTTGGCATGTTAGAGCTTGTTCTCTTGAAAAGAATATGGTAATAGAAATTTAAAAAACAGTATTATATTAATATTTTAAAGATAAGCTAGATTTGAAGGTGAAGAATGAAGGGAACTGCTGTATAAGTTAGCTGTTCTAATAATCAGTACACAAATACACACCCAGTGCACTGGTATAGAATTTATCAGTTAACATTATATCATTGAAAATTAGAATATGGGAGGCCGAGACGGGCGGATCACGAGGTCAGCAGATCGAGACCATCCTGGCTAACACGGTGAAACCCCGCCTCTACTAAAAAATACAAAAAACTAGCCGGACGAGGTGGTGGGCGCCTGTAGTCCCAGCTACTCGGGAGGCTGAGGCAGGAGAATGGCGTGAACCCGGGAGGCGCAGCTTGCAGTGAGCTGAGATCCGGCCACTGCACTCCAGCCTGGGCGACAGAGCGAGACTCCGTCTCAACAAAAAAAAAAAAAAAAGAAAATTAGAATAATATCTACCAGAAAGTTCACAGAGTAAGAATTTAGACTTTTGAGCCTGGTGTCGATCACTAAGGTATATTAACTGAAACAGATCATTCAGTCATTGAACAGTTTGTATATTGGGAACACCAGCCATGTTAATTAGGTAGAATGGGTTTGTTACAGTGTGTTTATACATTATAAACTACAGAACATGAGCTTATGTCTGTTGTTTTTTTGTTGTGCAGTAAATTTAGGTTGAATTATTTCTTGTGTTCTCCTCTATGTGATAGGCATGCTGTGGGGGAAGCACAGGCTTTGGAGCAAGCAGTTTTGATTGTGACCTTACATAAGTCTCAGTTTCCCTGTCTGTAATTAGCTCCCACTTTATTGGGTTGTTGTAAGGATTAAATGAAGTAATTTCTGTAAGACATAATGACTGATACAAAGTAGGAAGTAAGTAAATTTTTAGTTTTCTTTCACTTTTGCACCACCATATAGACATAGTATGTTTCCTCCTGGCCAAACAGAACAGAATCAGATGTGTAGTAATGTAAGAGTGACTCAGCAATTCTAGTTATTTACCTAATAGAAATGAGTGCATATGTATGCCAGAAGACATGTATAGGAATGTTCATAGCAGCATTGCTTCTGATAGCCAAAACCTAGAAACACCCACAGATCTAACAGCAGTAGAATGGGTTAATAAATTGTGGTATATTCATAAAATGCAATTTCATTCAACAACAGAAATGAACACAGTACTGCTACACACATCAGGTAAAACTATGGCCCTCCAGCCATCTGCTTTTTCTTGTAAATAACATTTTATTGGAATATAGCCACACTCATTTGTTCATGTATTGTCTATGGTTTCTATTACTAGGCAGCGCTGAGTAGTTCTGACAGACACACTATGGCCACAGCCTAAAATATTTATTATCTGGCCCTTATGAAGAGTTTGCTGGCCCCTACTGTAGATGAATATCAGCTGACTCAACTTCAGCAAAGTTGAAGGATTAGTGTTAGCTGGGGGATGAGAATGTGGGGAGTGGGAAGGAGTCCTAATAGGTATGAGATGATGAGAATGTTCTAGAGTTAGTGGTGATGGTTGGACAACTTTGAGAATATGCTAAAACCACTAAATTGTGTACCTTAAAATGATGAATATTATGGTATGTGAAATATAATGCAAGTTTTAAAAATTTTAAAGTTTAAATTTTAAAATTTTTAAGTTGGGTGGAAGAAAATAGACGTAATACATACTGTGTGATTCTGTTTGTATATAGTTCAGAAGCAGAGGCCAGGCACAGTGGCTCACACCTGTAATCCCAGCACTTTGGGAAGCTGAGACGGGCCTCATCATTGGAGGTCAGGAGGTCAGGAGACCAGCCTGGCCAACATGATGAAACCCCATCTCTACTACAAATACAAAAATTAGCCTGACATGGTGGCGCACGCCTGTAATCTCAGTTACTCAGTTACTCAGGAGGCTGAGGCAGGAGAACTGGTTGAACCCGGGAGGCGGAGGTTGCAGTGAGCCAGGATCGTGCCACTGCACTCCAGCCTGGGCAACAGAGCGAGACTCTGTCTCAAAAAAAAAAAAAGGAAGCAGAAGCTAATCTAAGGTGTTAGAAGTCAGCATAGTGGCTATCTTTGCAAGGGTAAATAGCTGGAGAGCATAAGGGAGGCTTCTGGGGTGCTGGTCATGTTATAATTCTTGGTGTGGGTGACGTTTACATGGGTGAGTTTACTTTGTAAAAATTATAAATTTTCCATTTATGAATTTTATGTATAGTTTTATGTATACACTAAAACAAAAGCTTTCTTTGTTTGTTTGTTTTTGTTTTGAGACGGAGTCTCGCTCTGTTGCCCAGGCCTGGAGTGCAGTGGCGCGATCTCGGCTCACTGCAAGCTCTGCCTCCCGCGTTCACGCCATTCTCCTGCCTCAGCCTCCTGAGTAGCTGGGACTACAGGCACCCACCACCATGCCTGGCTAATTTTTTGTATTTTTAGTAGAGATGGCGTTTCACCGTGTTAACCAGGATGGTCTCGATCTCCTAACCTCGTGATCTGCCTGCCTTGGCCTCCCAAAGTGTTGGGATTACAGGCGTGAGCCACCGTGCCCGGCCAAAAGTGTCTTTAAAAAAAATAAATAACAGGTTAGGCGTGGTGGCTCATGCCTGTAATCCCAACACTTGGGGAGGCCAAGGTGGGTGGATCACTTGAACCCAGGAGTTCAAGACCAGCCTGAGGAACATAGTGAAACCTCGTCTCTACAAAAAATTTTTAAAATGAACTGGCCATGGTGGTATATGTCTGTGGTCCTAGCTACCCGGGAAGCTGAGGCAGGAGGATCACCTGAACCTGGGAGGTCAAGGCTGCAGTGAGTCATGATTATGTCACTGCCCTCCAGGCTGGGCAGTTCAGTGAGATCCTTATTTCTCAAAAATAAAAATTAAAGCTCCCTTGGGAGAGAAGGCCAGAGAATTCCCTCTTACTTTATATTTCTTATTACTTAGCAAATTAACTATGTTGTAAGTAATTCTGTGAAATCCAATGTGGCTTTTTTTGTTTTTTGTTTTTTAAGATGGAGTCTTGCTCTGTCACCCAGGCTAGAATGCAGTGACATGATCTCAGCTCACTGCAACCTCTGCCTCCCAGGTTCAAGCAATCCTTCCACCTTAGCCTCCCAAGTAGCTGGGACTACAGGTGCACACCACCACGCCTAGCTAATTTTTGTATTTTTAGTAGAGAGGGGGTTTCACCATAATGGCCAGGCTGGTCTCAACTCTTGACCTCAAGTGACCCGCCAGCCTCAGCCTCCCAAAGTGCTGGCCACCGGTAAATTGTGGCTCTTTCTTTAATGGCCTAGACACTCAAATGTACATCGTAATTAAAATTATGAAATATTTCAATACTCTTACCAAAAACATCTAAATCAGTGGTTTTCAAGTTATGTTCTTTACAAGAGGGAGGTGATATTTTGTAAATTTTTACAAAAGACCAAGTCCTTGCTTGCTTACTTTGATCAGGGCATCTCTTCTTTACCTATCTTCTGTAGTTGAGTCCACAGTCTTGTGTATTTGAAGACTGGCTGGGCGCAGTGGCTCACACCTGTAATCCCAGCAATTTGGGAGACTGGGGCAGACAGATCACTTGAGGTTAGGAGTCCCTGACCAGCCTGGCTAACATGGTGAAACCCCGTCTTTGCTAAAAATACAAAGAAAAAAATTAGCCAGGCGTGGTGGCGCATGCCTGTAATCCCAGGTACTTGGGAGGTTGAGGCAGAAGAATTACTTGAACCCGGGAGGTAGAGGTTGCAGTGAGCTGAGGTTGAGACACTGCACTCCAGCCTGGGCAACAGAGTGAGACTCTGTCTCAAAAAAAAAATATATATATATATGAAAATACATATATATATGAAAATATATATATATTTGAAGACCAATGAGCTTGATGATCCAGAGAGAGATCTTGGAAGGTTTTCCCCAAGACTAATTTAGGAAGAATAGGAAAGGCAGATTAAGTAAGATTAAACTAAAGTTCTATGTTTACCCTTGCAGTCATCATTTAACTTTTAAATTTACCTCAATTAAGATAAACTCTTGCTGGGTATAGTGACCCAGTCTGTAATCTCAGCACCTTGGCAGGCCCAGGCAGAAGGATTGCTTGAGGCTGGCGTTTGAGACCTCCCTGGGCGATATAGTGAGACCCTGTCTGCAGAAAAAAAAAATTTTTTTTTTAAAGATAGCCTCCTATCTTCAGGCCAGTGAAATATGGGCTTTAAAAAAACAATTCTTAATCTCTTTTCAAGTTGTTTAGCTTTTCTGCTTTTCTTACCAGGTATATGTGACTGCTGAGAGCCGCTTCAGCACCTTGGCAGAGCTTGTACACCATCACTCCACAGTGGCTGATGGGCTGGTGACAACATTACACTACCCAGCACCCAAGTGTAATAAGCCTACGGTCTATGGTGTGTCCCCCATCCACGACAAATGGGAAATGGAACGAACAGATATTACCATGAAGCACAAACTTGGGGGCGGTCAGTATGGAGAGGTTTACGTTGGCGTCTGGAAGAAATACAGCCTTACAGTTGCTGTGAAAACATTGAAGGTGGGTTGCTGAGAATTACAGTTTTCAGGCATCTTTTTCTTTTGTGCTCAATCACTTGGAAATATGAGCATGCTCTTCTTTAACTTTGGAACACTTTCCACCCACTGGTGCCAAGCACATCAGCAAATTGTGATGATTAACCCTAGTGCCATTGCTGACAATGCAGAGGTAGATTATTCACTGCAATGCAATGAAACCCACATGTGGGAAAGGTCTGTCTCTGGAGGCTGTTGATGTAGATCTTAGTGGGAGGTTAGAAGCAAATTAAAAGTTATAAAAGCAAAATAAGCTCTTTTGCTTCCTGAGATCGACCCCTGCTGGACAGAATTCTTTGTGCCTTGTCTGAGAATCATGGGCCTCTTTCTTGTTCTGTCCTTCCTCTCCCTTGTTGTTGTTCCTCCTGTCTCTTTGCAGTTAGAGCACTTCTTAACATTCACAGAAATCTTTTTCCTGGTACTACTATATGTCTCCTTTAAACCTCCCAGTATCAAATTATAAGGTTTTCACTCACTTGATTGTCCCAGACCCTCAGTAACTGTCTCTAGTATATCACTCATAAGGGCTATTCTTTAGCTATAAGTAGTAGTCAGTTCTGTTTCTTAAGCATATTCTGAGTGTAAAGCAATATATAAGGCCTTGCTCTCTAAGAAGATTATGATCTAATCAAGAAGATAAGTATGTAAGCAGCTAAGTGCTAGGTCTCCTCATTCAAAGCCTGAGATATCTGAAGAAATAAATTGTGAGAGAACTGAAGCATCCAATACAGGGCTCCTGTGTTTCAGTTGATTATAGGACATGATTGCTGAATTTTGCTTCTCCTGCTAATTTTTACTCCAGGACATTTTTCTTTCTAAGTTGGACTTCTTAAAAATAATAATCATTTCGGCTGGGTGTGGTGGCCTATGCCTGTAGTCCCAGCAATTTGGGAAGCCCAGGCGGGCCGATCACCTGAGGTCAGGAGACCATCCTGGCCAACATGGCAAAACCCCGTCTCTACTAAAAATACAGAAAGTAGCCAGGCATGGTGGTGCTTGCCTGTAATCCCAGCTACTTGGGAGGCTGAGCCAGGAGAATCGCTTGAACCCAGGAGGCAGAGGTTGCAGTGAGATTGTACCACTTCACCCCAACCTGGGTAACAGAGTGAAACCCTGTCTCAAAAAAATAAATTAAAATAAAAATTATTTCTTGTAATATGCTAAAATATTCAAAAGATACTTCTTTTTACTGTTAAAGCTGAAGCTTTAGGATTGTGAGATGAATCAAATGATTTTAAGTTGGGGGTTTGTCCCTCTCGTTTTCTTCTTTCTTACCTTTCCCTTTTTCCAGGAAGATACCATGGAGGTAGAAGAGTTCCTAAAAGAAGCTGCAGTAATGAAGGAAATCAAGCATCCTAATCTGGTACAACTTTTAGGTGAGGAACCTTGCCTGAACCATAGATATCCTCCAAAAATGCTTGTCCTTTAACCCCTTCTTATCTCCAAATGCCTTCTTTTTTTTTTTTTTT